ATCTCGAGGCCTTCAAAAGCAACATGACTGAAATTTTATGGACTTAATCTGCATGCTCATACGAGCATCCATTATCAAAATGGGCGTTCTTACCCGTGTGGTCCCTGCGTACGAGCCCGTCAAAGTTTTTGGCAAGTAAGCTGCTAACCCTGGAATCTGAAAAGCTACAATACTGAAATTTTAACGGGATGCTTCCCGTCCACGTAGGTCGTAATGAGTTCCAAACGAACCCCCAACTATGCGTGGTTCCAACGTACGGTCCAGTGAGAGTTTTCTGCGGGTAACTTGCTAATTCGGGAAGCTGGAAAGCTATAAGGTTTTAATTTTAAGCGGATGCTCCCGATCCGTGTAGAAAATTTAACTTTCTAGCTTTCCTCGTTCAAGCTCTGCCCCAGTTGTGCGTGATCTCATGTAACAGCTTGTGGAAATTTTTTGAGGATAAGTTGCTAACTCGGGAACCAGGGAAGCTAGAAAGTTAAATTTTAAGAGGATGTTTCTGACAGTCCTTCCTGGTGGCCAGTCTCAATTCTTTTAGCTAGAAGCATTTGCCGGGAAAAACTGTGCCGCTGGTGACAAAAATCTGCGGGGAACTATGCAAAAAACGCATCTTCGCACCGAGAGTCGGTGCGCTAGCCATTTTTTTATCACACGACGACGCTGCGCAAGACATGTTTCCGATGGGAAGTTTCTAAGCTTCCCTCGTTGCACTGCTGGCTTTTGTTAATGCCCACGTCACGCACCGCAGGTCATTGCTATCAGAACTAGGTGAGCATATCCCTTCCATTTTAAGGATGCCGGCGAAGCTATTCGGTGTGTATCAAATAATTCAAACACTTACCTCAATTCCTTCTTTCCAGAGATCGATGATTTGGTGTTTCCTACACCAGTCATGGCTCGTAGCAAATGCAACTGGAATATCCTCTTCCAAGCAACTTGAGCAGCCTTCTGGCGGGCATTCAATTTGGAACCTGTGTGACAGAACGCTTAGATGCCAACCTACTTCACCTTATCAAAGCAACAAATGCTAAATACAGGGCCCAAATTACTTCAAAATGCGAAAAAGAATGGGCGACGCTTTCTTCAAGTAGTAAATCAATTGCTTTACGATTGCATCCTCAGAATTTTTAGCTAAATCCAGAGCTTATTCCAATCTCCATCAAATC